GTTGAGGATTGCTGTGTGTGACACCACGTGCTGTTCCATTTTACAGATCTACCACAATAAATGTGTTTGCCCTCGATTTGGAGCACCTGCCCACGTCCTTCATTTCGTGTGTGAAACAAACGCGATCTCAGTAAAAAAAGAAAACTTTATTTTGGATAATTTTGGTCACGTGTTAAACTGTTCGTGATCCAGCCGGGTGGCTCGGCGGTAGAGCGTGTGGCTCACAATCGGAAAGTTCGGGTTCAAATCCTGGTTGTGGGGTTGACACGGGTCATCCTTTCTCCAGGGTCGATAAAACAAGGAGAACATTTATGGGGACGTTAACAGTGCTCCTGTGAGATACACTTGACCTCACCATGGGAATCTTGAATTTCCACCACTGTCTTACCGCTCTAATGAGGAGATAAGCACCGCCTCAATGCTAAATTGAGTAGGACATTTTTATTTTTACTTTTGAAATGTCTTCGCCTCCATTGGGTCTGCCGTCTCCACGCGAGTTCCCAAAGCGGGTCTCCAATGCAATGTGGCAAACATTCGATGCTGCTGATGATGATGCAAATTGTAACCGATTAATTTTACTAAAACCATACATGTTTATGTGTTCCTTCAGAGGCCGCTCAAGAACCTGATGGCACACGCATGACTCACACGTGTCGCGTGAAACAAATTCAATGACCTGCGCACGCATTAGGTGTTCAAAACCGTAGATTCCTATTCGATACGTTAACATTCTCCCCTGGGTAGGCAGGTACCTGATTTTGTGGGCTCAAGTACACATTTACAGTCGGTCGTTAGTCTGTGGCAGCTTCGCTCCAGATTCTAGCTTCGAGCCGAATTGAACAAAGTGACCTTGGCGCAGAATGACCGCTCATTTTACTACAATCGTCTCCAACTAATGAATTCGATCTAGGGTTAAGTCTTTGCTGGATCAAATGTTCAACATATCTTAATATTGATTCGCCCCCCCCCCCTTTCCCCTGCATAAAATATCAGAACAATGTGCTAGTGAGTGAAGCTGGGCTGTTGGCAGTAATGAGTGGGATCTATTTTAATGGTGGAAATGCACACGGCACTCTTTGTAAGCCCTCATCAATTCAACGTGTCCATCTGCAGCGAACGAGTTTTGCAGTAAAACAAGCGCAGCTGGCTACGTTAGCCAGTGACGAAGCGTCTTGCCGGCCGCTTGAATCGCATCTCTTGAATGGTACACCTCTTCCGTGCAAACACTGCAGCTTAAATGGCTCACCGCGCTGCACAATAATTCTCTCTGCAACCACATTTTGTACGCAATTTAGTCAAGTGTACGTTGCTCAACGATGGGAATAAATACTGCGGAATGTCTTCAACGTTCGGCGAGACATTTGCATGCACTTTGCTTTTTGCACTTGATGTGAGAATAGTCAGGTCCAATTAATATCTGGTTCAAATAAGCATTTAGGTGGTGCTCATCTACAGTTCACAGCCCTGAGCCAGTGATGGAAATTCCACATTCCTATTACCTGGATGAGTCGAGCCATAGAACAACCACTATTGACTTCCCCACAAAGTGGTCCTAATTTTACCGACCCCCAAAAAGATGATGAATTGAGTCGACTACCGGCCGGGATTTTCACTCACAACCTTCCAATTGCGAGTTGCTCACTCTTCCACCGAGCCTGCTGATTGGCTCCAGTGAAAGAATGTGACGAGCAAAGCTGCACCAATCACAAGGCACCACCGCGCAGCATCTTGAATGCACGATACAACCAAATTACCCTTAGGTTTTTCTTTACCATGTAAGGCCCACTGAGCGATATAGCAATTTTTTCCACAATTGATAGCTAGTTCAATGTAGTGGCTTATGATGTGGAAATTTACAACAGCCAAATATTGTACACGCACGTTTCTATATGTGGAGGGAAAATCCGGAGGACCCGTAGAAAAATCCACGCGACCATGGAGACAACATGCAAACTCCAAATATACAGCAGCAGGCGTCAGGATCGTGATCGAATCCACGACCTCCTGCATACCAGGCGAGAGAGTTAACATCTCGCCACCGTGGCGCCCACCAAGTGCTCCAGACCTCATCAGATCTCGCAAGCAAAGCAGAGTTGAGTCCGGTTCGAGCTTGGATGGGTGACCACCTTGCCTGACACGTGTTGTAGGCATGATGCTTGCAAGGGCCCACGAGTTGCTAGCATCAAGTGGCAGTACAGTTGTAGTGCTGATCTTTACGCAGACAACTTCTTTTTCCGTCGTCACTTTATTTTACAAAACTCTTCACATTCCACAACCGAGACTTCGGCACGTTCTTTGCTCACTCGCCGCGCTCCGCTGGCCTCGCTCGCTCCGTTCCCTCCCTCTCTCTCTCCCCGTCTCTCTCTCCCTGACTCTCCTCTCTGCTTCGCCTGTCTCGGCTTCGACTGTCTCGCTCTCTCTCGGCTTCTCCGTCTCACTCCGACTGTCTCTCTCCCTCTATCGTGTCTTCTCTGTTCCCGTTCCAGCCTATCCTATCTCTCATCTCGCCTTCTTCTCCTGCTCCACTGCTAACCTATTCTATCTCTCATATCTTCTTCTCCTGCTCCACTGCTAACCTATTCTATCTCTCATATCTTCTTCTCCCCGACTGTCTACGTCCAGCTCCCAGCATAACTCCCCGTCTCACTCTCACACTCCCATATCTATCCCCGTCCTCATTAATTACCAATTAATTAACCGGCATCCCCACCGATGCCCCGCGCATGCGGCCCCCGCCGCCACCTGCTCCCATCCCCAGACTTGCTGGCGCCACTTTGTCTCTGACAACAACAACCGGCCAATCACTGCCCTGCATTCCATAATCACCTAACGAGCTGTCTCTCTCTGGCCGTTATCCCCCCAGCAACACCTGCTTGCCCTGATGCGACCCCACTGTCCATAACCCACACGTGCTTCTAATTTCCCCTCTTGGCGCGCGTTAATCCACTACACAGATTTGGTCCGCTCACTGGATCAAAGTCTACTTGTGGATTGAAGCTGTGTGCGAGAGCTGTTACAGCCGTTTCCTGCTCATGTGCCAATTGCTCATTAATGTTGTTTGCCAAACTTCTCAACGCACCACCCGCCTGAAAATGAGTCCCAATTGTGTGTAATTAATATTGTAAACAATTAGCATTAATATCTATAATGGTTTTACTTTGCCATAAAGTCTATTCCGATAAACAGTGCTACGGTTACAACGTCTCCGTTGTTCGCTATCTGCACTTCCTTGTCACAAAACGTCGACTTTCTTGATATAGAGCAGGGTACAGCATTGAGAGCAAGGTACAGCAAATTACACGGAGCTTGAAAGAAACACATTCAGTTGCGATGACGCGGGTGTCTCAAAAGCCAAGAACGTTGGTCTGGCCACCGAAAAGATCCTGGCAGCCACCAGATTAAACAGGTTCTCAGTGAGTTGAGCTGAATGGGAGCTCAGATTTAGTTGATTGAGCTCAATGGGAGGTCAGGTGTAGTGAGTTGACAGTGCCAGCCCTGTCTCTAACGACTGCGTACGCTGGGGTTTGCAATTTGGCTAAATTCCAGCTCTGACATTAGAAATTAAAAATAATGTAACTTTCGTGTGATGAATGATCACAATTGCAGGATTAAAGGAGCCTGGCATATAATTTATGGCTCATTCCAGAAGGTTGCAAGATGTTACCGAACAACATTGTAATCGTTTGCGCCACGGTGCAATTATCTGAGTATTCTACAACGTAAAACAACGTGAAAAATATAGATATCGTTTGGAGGAAATGCAGTCCTGAAATGATAGGCGATCTATAGAAATCATAATTGTGTCACGTAATCAATTATCAAACGAGCATCTGATCAGAGTCATTCAACAACAACAATGCCAAACAACAACTTATATTTATAATGCGCCCATAATTTGACACACATTGGCATCTATTAAAATACCTAAGAAATGCTTGTCAAATGTGATATATCTCATCATCTAAAATTCCCAAAATCCTGAGACATCTCCACTCAAAATGATGTACCACTTAAAGCCCAACAAAGCATTGCGATCTGCGCATCTACACTGTCGCCCAGCGTCACGAGGAAAGACTCCAGGGGTCGCCTGTTCTGCAACCGCGAGAAGTCCACGTGGGTTCTCCGACTTCTTCCAAGCTTCCAAGACGCCTGGCCAGTGTCGATGAGTGGAGCAAACACCCTCGTCACATCTGCGGATAAACTAAAACTAATCTATTTTAGTTTATTTTACCAGGTAAGGCCCCACTGAGCTAAATGTGTCTTTGCAGAAGCGACCCTGGCCACAAATGATAGCTCAAAGAAGTGGCTTATCATGTGGAAATCTTTAGCGGCCAAATACTGGAAACGCACGTTGAGTCTAAATGTGGCAGGGGAAACCGGAGGACCTGGAGAAACATTCATGCAATTAAGGAGAGAAAATGCAAACTCCATACATACAGCAGGCGTCAGGGTCAAACCCACAACCTCCTTCATACCAGGCGAGGGAGTTAACATCTTGCCACCGTGGCGCCCAATGGCTAAGCATAGCTGGAGCCATTTTTACGTGTATCTGGTGTTAGGAGACGCTGCCACAGTGTTAACGCACTGATTGATTCGCTTTCCTGGCACGTCAGTTTAAAAGATGGGAAAATATCTGAAATCATCTGCCTCTCTCCACCAACAAGTGCAAACAGGAAGACCACAGTTAGCCGATTGGTGGGTCGAGTGCGGTGGTGGGGTAAAGTGTGGGTACCCCCCTCCCCACCTCTTCCAAGGTGTCTGGCCAGCATGGAAGAGGGGGCCATATCCCTCTGGAGCAGCTGTGTAGCGGAGGCTTTCCTCCAACAGTGGTGTGAGCGAGCAATTGCAGGGCTGCACCTTTTTTCTTAATCTGGGACAAAATCAAGTAGCGGGCATGTTGAAGTTAGCCAAAACAACTGAGACATTGTCAGCGTATCTCTTATCTATATTGGTGACACTTTGCACCTGTCATTAACCCTTAAATATCCATGGAAAGGGCAGTGGTGCGAAGACAAAAGAAACATTTCCGCTCTCACTGTCCTCGGAAGAAGAACCTCCAAGCCTTTGTAGGACGATGCTGTCGCTGAGAGGAGAGCGTGGATCGGGGCGCTGGCTCCTGGCGCTCGCACTCTGCGTTGCATGGTCGGGATCGAGCGCGCTGCCGGCGCACAGAGGGCAGCCGCAGAAGCTGCTGCTCGTCTCGTTCGACGGATTCCGCTGGGACTACGACACGGACGTGGACACCCCGAACCTGGACCACCTGCGCACCATCGGGGTCGCGGCGCAACACATGGTGCCGCCTTTCGTCACGATGACGTCTCCATCGCACTTCACCCTCGTCACTGGTAACCCTTCAGCACCTCTGAGTCGGATCCCTCGATGATTCATCTAGAGGCTCAATTAAAATTACGAACCGATTTTAAACAATCGTAATACCAACTGTTCGACATGCCCTCCAGGGGTTGCCCGTTCTGCAATCGCGAGGTGTCCATGTGAATTCTCCGACCTCTTCCAATCTTCCAAGACGTTTGGCCACTGTTCAAATGTAGGTCAAATTCCCTCGTCACAGGTACGGACGGATAAGCGTAGCTGAAGCCAAATGTTTTTAGCGTAACTGATGGTCGGGGCGTGCTGCCACAGTGTTCGCACGCTGGTCGATTCGAGCTCTCCTGGCACGTGAGTTCAAAAGATTGGCACATTCCTCAAAGCCCCTGCATCTCTCCACCAGAAAAGTGCAAATATGGAGACCACAGTTCGTCGATTAGTTGGTCGAGTGAGGTGGGGTAAAGTGTGGGTACCCCCCCCCCCCTCGTTTTTGACCAAGGCGTCTGGCCCTCGTGGATCATTACGATCCATGGGCAGATATCTCGTAGGTGTCCACTGCACATTTCGTCATTAGTTTCCACTATCCTCTGTCTTGTGCCAATGTGCTGCTGCTGCTGCCTTCTGGTAGCTAATTTTTCGACCCAATCCCGGCTACTCGATTGGGGATGCGACGTCCGAGCCGGTATTCCTCGTCTTCCTCTTCTTCTGTGGTCGTCATGTGCATTGGATTACTTTCGTTTTTTTTTTCTCTCCACGGCCGAAGTATCCAGCACCCTTTCGCCAAATAACCCCTCTGGAGCAGCTCTGTAGTGGAGGCCCTTCCACCAAAACAGCTGTGTAGAGAGCAATTGCAGGGTTGCACCTTTTGTACCTTCAACTTGTGCCCGTTGTGCTATAATATTTTATTACTGTTCATTGAGTTGGTCAAGGATACATTGCTTTGTCAATATTTAAACAAAACGCTTGGTTTTTATAAATTGTTATAAGCAATGAGAATTCGTGTATGTAATGTTACATTTTGTAAAGTGCTCTATATGAACATTGATTGATTGGTCATGTAAGTGTTGTCGACCTTGTTTCGAGTTGTGTTTGTGTGTTTGTTTTTCGTATGCAATCTGCATTTCCCTCTTGACCCAGATCTCACCTTGAAAAAATATCATTTCAGTCTCAAGTAGCTCTCTCTGTTTCTCTCTCTCGATTTGAAATAAAAAGAAGTCGATCGATTTGCTGATTTTAAAATTATATTCGATCCAAGTGCGGGTTTTCTTCTTCCAAGGTTGGGCTGAGCATTGAGCAATTTCGCTCTCAGGAGCTTTCCCCGTGCACTGGTGTGAAATCGATGCAGCGGTACGTGGTGAAAGTTTAAATAGGCTGCCAAAATATGTTATTATACATCCCTGAATATCCTCTAGATGAGAGCTTAATACAATTGAATGTATTTTACCAGAGTGAAAAAAATAGGTTTGGTGAGCAGTGGTGTAGGGTGCACGTAGAAACGGGTTTCCGATATCACTCGTCACTGATGTTAGCCGTGGCTGGTAATTACACTCAGGTCGCCAGCTCGTAACACGTGGTCCAAACCACTGTGCCGCCACGGTGGCGAGATGTTAACTACCTCGCCTGGTATGCAGGAGATCGTGGGTTCAATCCCGATCCAGACCCTGACTCCTGTATATTTGTAGTTTGCACGTTCTCCCCGTGGTCGTGTGGATTTTGCTCCGGGTCCTACGGTTTTTACCTCCACGTTTAGAAACATGCGTTTAGAGTATTTGACTGCGATAAATGTCCACGTGATAAGCCACTTCGTTGAGCTATCATTTGTGGCCAAGGTCGCTTCTGAAAAGAGATATACAGCTCAGTGGGCCTTACCTGGTAAAATAAACTAAATCAATTATAGTTTCGCATAATTAAAAAAAAAATTTGTGATATAGGGAGCCATATTGAAGAACGGTCAGTATTATACATATGCTTAACTTTGGCGTGACTCTTTTGTCTGTGGGCGCGGTGTGCGTAGGGAGGCACCCGGAGTCTCACGGCGTCATTCACAACATGCTGTTCGATCCAGAGACCGGAGAAAAACGCAACTTTAAGAAAACGCAACTGCGCTCCGAATGGTGGAACCAGACCCTCCCCATCTGGATCACGGCGCAGAACCAGGTCTCTTGGCCTTCACGCTCTCGAAAATCCGTAGTTCGGGCATGCTTCGCTTTGCCTTCTGTCAAAGCCGCCAAATCAACCTTTGGTCAGAGGGAGGTCGTACGTTCTCCTGTCCTGTCCTTCCTCGTCATAAACTTCTTTCCTCCAGCATGCGACCACGTACCTGTCCCCGTTCAAGTTCACTATGCTTCTCTTTACCCTTGCCTATGACTGGCTACCTCTTTCTTCATAATGCCTTTTTCTATACAGCATCTTGAGATGCGTTCACATTTATATGCTACGCAAATTGACTTGCGTTTAAAACCTATCGTCTGGATTTTCAAGGTTGGCTAAGTGACACCCATTTGCAGGCTTTTCAACTCTTGTGTATGGTTAACTCATAAAACCACAAAATGAAGATTGTGCCTAATCCTATTAATCAACTTTAAACTTTAAACACGCACCAGATTATAATTTAGCTACAACCGCATTATCACAACAAAAACAACAACACTTCCCAAGATTTGTCATCAAAACTGCCTAATGAAAGAACAAACACATAAATGGTTGACCTTTCGGGTGATTTATTCTTAGAGATGGCAGAGAAATCGACTGACATGTTCGGAGGTGTCTGAACAAAAGTTAACTTAAAAAGTTGAAATTAATAAGAAAAACATAGATACCAGGCTGCCGTTCCAATCAACTCCACTTCTTTCGATCAGTGCCATCTTGAACTATAGGATTGAAGAAGGCACTTTATGCCCTAGTGGTATCAAACAAAGTAGATATGTGAAAGTTGACATCAACATATCTTTCCACTGCCATTGCGTTTTCATATTTTTTCCCATTTTCAGGGCCTGAAGACCGGCTCGTTCCACTTCCCCGGCGGAGCTGCCACGTACTCCGGTCAGACTCCGTCCAAGGCCGTGGCGGAAGCGGACGATCATCCGAACAGCAACGTGACCGAGTGGCTCCTCAACATTGACATTGTCATGGACTGGTTCGTCAAAGACGGCCTCGACTTCGTGGGCCTGTACTATGGCGAGCCGGACTCCACGGGCCACAAGTATGGACCAGAGACGGAAGAGCGGCGGGCGATTGTGAAAAAGGTGGACGAGACCATCGGCTTCCTGGTGGAGGCCATCGAGAGGAGCGGCCTGAAGGACACCCTCAATGTCATCATCACCTCGGACCACGGCATGCTGACGACTCAGAAAGCTCCAGACATCAATGAAATTGTGCTGTCAAATTTCATTAACTTCACAAGGGACCTCAAGTTTGACCTGGTGGACTATGGACCGTCCGGCATGCTTCTGCCCAAGGAAGGGAAGGAGGTGGAAGTTTACCAGAACCTGAAGGGTGCCCACCCGCACCTGCACGTTTATAGGAAGGAAGAGTTCCCAGAGCGCTTTCACTACCGCAACCACGAGCGCATCCTGCCCATCTTGGTGTACGGAGACCCTGGCTACGTGGTCAATGGCGTTGAGTATTCACACCAAACTCGACATCTTACATGACCGTATTTGCATCACGATGAGCATTATTGTACAGCTCTGCTTGTACAGCCATTTGTCAGTCCATCGCTCGACGAGGCTCTCCCCACGCTGATCAGGCTGTGGGTTTACTTTTTATGCTTAAGCTTCACCACGCTGGTCAATGCGGGTTGGTGAAGGCTGAGAGCATAGATATGAGAGCACAGAAGGACAGTAAAGCAGCAGATTATACTGCACTGCCCTCCACTCCACACCTACTTGTATAAGAGTAATTAATATCAAACCCTTCTGAATGTTGATTTATCGGAGGAGTTAAAAGCGACTCAATGCACGATGTCGATCCGACCGGGTTGTTCGAAAGCCCCCTTTGTTCCCCCCCCACCCCCCCGGACAGAGGATGATATTCCAGTTCAACAAGGGCGACCACGGCTACGACAACGAGGTGCCCGACATGTGGACCATCTTCCGCGCCTTCGGACCTCGCTTCCGTCAGGGCTACGTGGCGGAGCCGTTCGCCAGCGTGCACGTGTACGCGCTCATGTGCGAGCTGCTCGGGGTGCAGCCCGAGCCGCACAACGGCTCCCTCGACGTCACCCGGGACATGCTCGCCGACTCGCAGAGCACGACTCCTGCTGATGTTACGACTTGGGCTTCTGCTCCGGCTACTACGGCTACTACTACTATAAAGGCTACTACTACTACTAAGGCTACTACTACTACTACGAAGGCTACTACTACAAAGGCTACTCCTACGACTACAAAGGCTACTACTACTATAAAGACTACTACTACAATGGCTACTACTACTACAAAGGCTACTCCTACTACTACAAAGGCTACTACTACTACTACAAAGGCTTCGACTGCCAACTTGCCGGGTATTTGTCTCCCACCAAGTGGTGTGCCGTGTGGCTCTCCAGGTCAGGTGGACGTCGAGGTCCACTTTGCGTGTGCTTGTTTGTTGTTTATTATGATTGCAGGCGACGCGAGCAGGTTGTGGATTTGAGTAGAATAAGAGAGCTGAAGGGGTTCCAAATGCGCCCGCAGCGGTGTCCATTTCTCCCTCCCTCGTTGTAGTCTGGTGCCCGGTGTAACAGGCCGTAGTATACCCACAAGCCGTAGTAAACCCGGGGTTAAAACGGCCTAGGCTAGATTATACCCGGGTATATTATGGCCTATGCCAATTTATACTCTGGGGTTTATTATGGCCTAGGCCAAATTATGCCCCTCTAGGCCAAATTATACCCCCATGATAGTAATAGTGTTGAGCGATATACACATGAATTACTCAATTTTTCCAACATTTTATTTAAAACTGTAAACACATAGACTTTGATTGCTTCAACCAGAGAAACTTTAATAATTACCCTAACCCTAAAAATGCTTCAATTGATCAAACTGAGATTCTTACTTCCATTTATACACTTTTTAGATATCGATTGAAGTTCGTTGTCGGCTGTTCTCTGTATGGATAATTGCCTTTGAACTTTCACATGGGGCATATTCTGGCCTGGAGGGGTATGGTCTGGCCCAGTCTAGTTTAAACCCCCGGGTATTGTTTAGCCTAGGACACTTTTTCCCCCCGGGTATACTCTTGCCTAGCCAAACTATACCCGGGTTTAATTGGGGCAGGGGTTATTTTAGCCTGTTACACCGGAGCTCCATCCTGTGCAGTTGCACCTCGTGCACGCTCAGTCGCCATTCCACTGGGTTGTTGATGGGCTGTCGCCAGATCTGTTTCCCATTCGGACGAGAACATCACGACAAGACTAGTAGCTTCCCCACGCATTTGTATTACATTGGTGCGTGGCAACCATTTAAAAAAAAATGCCTGACATGGGTGGGTTGGTGATTGCGCTCCATCTGACAAAGTCGCCAGTTACAACTCCTGTTAACACAGTGAAGAGGAGACTTGAGATGGTTAAGCAGGATCAAGGCAACCTCACACCGTACTTCCACTTATCATCTAAAACCAACCTCGAACCCTCCGACTCCTCTCCTTATATAGCCCGTATCTCCCCCTTTTTTCACACTCATTCCCTTCTCGGGGTTTCCCTACTCTGTTAATCCTTCTGGGGCCACTCCGATGGGAGTGTCCTCCACTCAATAATCAGATTGCGTGTCGTACACGGCAGTGCTCCCGCGACCCTTAACCCGTGGTTGTGTGGTGTTTGTTTGTGATGATGTCCCGAACATCCTCTACATCAGTACTGGGGTGAAGCGGTGGCATGGTGACGCGCGCGGACTTATCTGTGAGCCCAAGTGGTCTCAATTAAATTCCCTGCCAGGGCTAGGACCGGTGTTAACCACTCCTGGGGCCACCAGCGTGGTGGACAGTCTGGTTAAGCGACCCTCACGATCAACGTGGTGTGGAGAGGCCTTCGTCCAGCAGTAGATGACCAATGGGCCGCACATTTGTAAATGTACACCCCGGGCCCACCCGATGACATGTGCAACCTGTGTGCAGGGTAGCGTGGCGCACACACACACACTCTTGATCGACGAAGAGTCCCAAAGTGTCCAGCGCCGGATGCTTAGTCAGCGAATGCTTTTACACGTGACTTTCCAGGCAGAGTACCAGATACACAAGAAAAAAACATGTAATTAAATGAATACATACGTAGTATGTCAATGGTATAGTGTGGGTGGACGTCAGCCAACGTAGCCACAGAGCCATTTGAAAGCCTCCTCCTCCTCCAGTATGTGCAGGGCAGCACCCAGAGACGATGGTGCGCCATGGTATCACTACTCCCCGCATTCACACGGCGGGCTGTCACGTAAGTAGTATGATGCCCCATCGATGTTAGAAAGCAGGTACACACACACACTCCCTGCCCTGGTCACACCGGAAGCGGTGCAACTGAACCCCACTGGTGCCTTGGGAAGTCAAAGCTAGGCATCTGGACGGATGGATCACTGATGAGGTCTACACATCTCCATTCCTCGCGCCAGGCAGTTGCGGGTATGTCACATGCTCGAGTCTTTGGGCGGTGGTAATGCCCACGCTGGGTGTCTGGACTTGAGACGCAGGGGCAGAGGCTTGAAGATAATTATCGACGTGAAGGGGCAACTCCGGTTGCCGCATCTACCTCGTCCAGCATTTTGGCTACTGCAGCTTGGTGAGCACTGGGCAGAGTCACCACCACGAGTCCTATTAAGGCCCTGTTTGGTAAAACTTTGCTTAAACTGAACAATTAGGGCCATGCGGGAAGAACGGACGCAAAACCCCACGCCAACTCTCAACACAATATAGCAACAAATGACCAAGAGTAAGCGGCAACCCTCTCGGCCGAGCCCACCTTCCGGCAACTTCCATTACGCTACTACTCCAACTCGACACTCAGGAGCCAGGCGGAGTCAATTGCGGCCGCTCCACGTTTTTGTTTCATGAATGACACCGTGCGAATATTCCTAAAATATGCAAAGTGCGCATTTGTGAAAATATTTCAAATGTTTACGATGTGTTTAAAGGGCTCAGCGAGTTTCCCTGACAACGTAGATACGTCTCAATACCGTTAGAGGAGTCTCGTAAATAATCAGCTCGTGTGTTGCTGTTGACAGATGACCTTGGATCCTCCACCCGTCTAACCCCTGGCTTGACAAAAAGATTCATCGGCCTGCTCGCAATCACCACGGTTCTTTTCTCGTCTTCACTGTGGCAGTAGCCTACGCCACCCAGAAAGCAACCACTGAAAAGTAAGTATACCCCTTGCAATTAGTGAGCAATGTGTGCAAGGTTTACGGGGAGTGAAATTCGAAATGTGTTGAGAATCAATTTCAAGTATTATATTTGTGAGTAGTTGGGATGTAGGTTTGGACGTGGTGGATTAAGAGGGCCCCAATGTGGTTTTTCTGCTCTGGGCCTCGAGCAACGTCTTGGTTGGCCCTGGAAAACCAAGGGTATCAATCATATCCCTTTATCATCCTCCGCTTGATGGGAGGATGGCTCCTTCTCTGCTGCTGCTGCTGCTGCTGCTTTCATTGTCTGGAATAATCATCAAAGGCTGTGAACCTTGTTCAAGTACAGGCTCAATGCTTCCCGCATCTCTTCTGCAGATGGCTGAATGTCTATATGCGTCTGTCATAATATCGTCTCATTTCCCCTCCAGTCTGTAGCATTCCACTCCTCATTCATTGCTCCAAAACAACGTCTTATTAACAACTCTTTAGATGCACGTGTCGCCCTATGTCTACAGCGTTTTTGAGATACAATTGGTATTCAACGTAATTCCTGACTCCGAACCAGAGTCTGGAAGACAAAAAAAAATGGGCCTCAATTTCCTGGTCCAGCGATCAAGAAGGCCTGAATGAAGAGATGACACAGTATAATGACGATGACCCAGCAACTCCTGGTGTTTGTAGCCTCTATTGATCAGTCTGTGCCTGCATTAACAATGTGGTGGAGATATAATGGTGAAGCTGACAGTGTAATGTGCAATAGGTTCATTACTAAAGTAATGTTTTTTTACATGTTTCTTTACAGGCCTCAACCCAAGATCGTGATGGATGTACATGATACACCGATGTCGCGTGTATTTCTTGAAATGATTGAGCAGTAATTGCACAAATTTTAAGCATTACAAACATAGCTTCTTATTCAATACATTAACCTTCACGTAGGGAGGTAAATTGATTTTCGGAACTTAAGGACTGATGTACAGTCTGTCATTAATTTGTCGAAGCTTCGCTGCAGATCCTTGCTTCGAGCTGAATTTATCAAATGGACTCATTGAAGTTGAAATATAATTTTGCTTTTAAATCTTTATATTTTCAGTTCAGAATGTTTTAATGAAATCCAGACTAAATATTTAATGCTTCTTAATCTTAGTTTAACACATACCATTTCAAAACTGCTTATTATTCAAGTGCTGTTTTCTGGGATTTGCTTCGTGTTGAGAATGTCTCCTACTCTTAGTTCTTTCGGTAAAGTCACGTAGGTAAAAAATGAAATTAAAATTAATAAAAATAAAACAATAAAAATCACGTGACTTTACCGAAAGAACTAAGAGTGTGAATCCTTGCAGTCACGAAAGTTTCATCTCTAGAGAGAATTTCTCCTCTCAAGCTTTCGCCTCACACTGCTGCGGGTAACTTGAGCAGTTTAAATTATGTTTTTTTTTACTTAAATGTTCAACACGCAGACCCACCCAGAAATCCGCGTTTGTAACGTTGCTGCATTGCAAGAGATAACTAACAGATGTTGTTCGCAGTAATCTGTATTTAATAGTAAACGACCAACTCGCACATCATTTGGATGCGACCGTCTGTCTGTCCCCCCCAGCCAGCCAGCAAAACGTTTACTCTTATATCGAGCCCTTTCTCTCCACCTTTCTTGTGCCTTCTCTGCAATGTATATCGCAATTTATCTACATTTCTGACTTTGCCTTATTTCTCTGTCTCCTCTTCTACCCTCTCCTTCCCTCTGCATTTCTCTCCTCCCTACACTGTATCCCGCCCACTTCCCACCTATCCCTGTTTTTTGCGCACCCCTCATCCTCACTTTCTTTGTTCCCACCTCTCCCTTGCCCGTCTCGTTCCCTCTTGTCTCTCCTTAATCCTCACACCTACTGATTAGTGCTTTCCGTCGCTCCCCTCTTTCCATTTTTCTCTTTGCATTTTTGCACTCTTCCTCTCCAATTCACGCCCTTTCACTCTCTGCTACCTCTCTCAGTTGCTCTCCGTTTCTTCCTCCCTCCCTCTCTCTGCCTTCCTAATTTCCCTCCACTCTCTGCTTTGTCACATTTGCACAGGAAGCCACTGGAGCTAGGCACTTTTAAATCTGGAATGAAAACTAATTTCTTTAGAACTGCTTTTTGTGGTCGGTTTGTTGTCCTTCCCCGCACCTCCGATTAGCACGATTGGCTACGTACGGTGCGAAAGAAGTTCAACATACATGTGGGCTTGGGGGGGTGACGTCAAAGCGCACAGATCCTACGCACGGCTGTGGAATGCGGGTGGCGTTATCACGCGCGGTGGCGTTACTACCACGCACGCGCACTTGAGTGCTAGTCGGCCAGACAGACAGGAATCCAGGCAGGAAGAAAGCCAGCCAATGTTTGTTTGTCTTTGAATATGGTTGCAAATGCGCATACCGCACTGTAAGTTTCTCGACGTAAAGCTTTCGTGACTGCAGGAATTCATACTCTTTGGGTCTTTCGGTAAAGTCACGAAGATAGAAAAATAAAAAAAATGAAATCGACGTTTCGATCGCAACACAAGCAATCGTCTTCAGGTGAAAAACTACAGCAGGCGGAATGCTGTGTTGCGATCGAAACATTGTGATTTTTAATGTTTTTTTTTCTATTGACGTGACTTTACCGAAAGACCCAAATAGTACGTAAGTTTCTCATCAAATTAACGACAAGTAAAACTGGCGCAGGTGATACCGTAACGATGTGTATTGTCACTCTTTTTTTAAAGTTACATCTTTTTAATTGCATCTCAACACAAATCATTCAAATCTCGCTTTGCTGTAAAAACATTATGATACTACCACGTTCATATGAATGTAATAACTGTACCCACCTAACAGGACTAGGGTACTGCATGATCCCTTGGATCTGTAACAAGGCAGTTGCACACTCAGCCCTGTTCTTTCAGGATTTATTCGTTTGCAATTTTACGCGCAAATAGAATCTCGTTTATGCAAACGGACGCGCTTTTGCATCATGGAATGGTGTTTTTTTATGGTAAGGCGACGTTCGTACTCAGTCTGAATGTCTAAACCACGTTAGCAGACGTGGGGCAACGCTTTCCAACGGAGCAAGCTGCAGCAAGCACAAGACGCCACGGTCCAGCTTCATGATGCGATATCAAGATTAAATATAGCACAACGATCCTGTGTTGAAATACAGACAGACATCCATTTATTAAATCACCTCATAATACTTCTTTCGGCTTTTCACTTAATTGAGTTCACTTCCAGCTCTGAGAATTACATACAACCCTCATGTGATGAAGATGACAATTTAATGGTTGTGTTAGAAAATTAAATGACCTTGCCACTTAATTCCCGAATAACTGGAAATTGAAATAGTTCGCCTTCATTTTTGTTCTCAAAAGAATGCAGCCATGCTTTGTATTTTTGTAATGTTTTAACCGATTCCCTATTCCTGTAACATACGAAGCATGTAGCAGGACTCCCTATTTGTATCACAACCAAAGTAACCACGATTGTAACGAATATCTGTACTTTTAAACATCTGTGCCGTCGCAGGACGCCCATGAAATTAAGAGCCCAACAGAGTATTGGTCCCTTCCTGCCGAAACAAAGAAAACATATCTCGATCCTTCCACATTATTGCAATGTTACCAAACAATATTGTATTGCTTTGTGCCAAGGTGCAACGAATAGAATATATAGCATAACACAACTTGACATAATGTAGATGTTTGAGGAAATGCACATCAAATGAAATGATAGTTGATCTATTTGAAAATAAAAGTGTCACAATCATGTCTATTACCAGCTCTGGAATTGGGTCATCTGATCCCGAGTCATCATCCAACCAAGTAAATGATAAATGCACCCATTGACGACCGTCTCAGAGCGTAGAATCACAAGGAAGTAAAACGGATGGGAATGGGAGGGACTGAGCGAGAAATGAAGAGAAAATCCACGTGTGGCACGGTTTAAAAGGGGCAGTTTTGAGCAGAGACTTGAATGCGGAGACAGGGAGAAGGTGCCAGCGCCAGGTCGCCTGGGTAAGGGAATTCCAGAGTGTGGGAGCGTAGCGGCTGATAGGGCGGCCAACAATAGCCGAGCTGTGGCTCATGGGGCCAAGGAGCAGGCCCGAGGCCGTGGTGTGGAGGAAGTCGGCTGGGATGTAGGGGTGGAGAACGTTGTGGATGTAGATGTTTAAAAAGCAGGGCATTTGCACTACAAGCAACCACCAAAAACAGTGATGATACTATATATAGTAATGATAATTGTTTTTTTACCCTTTTATCGGGCAACAAAACTGCCACCTTTTTTACAAGGAGTCATGTTTGCATTGAGCACAATACCTGCGGTCGGAATGCAAACAAAAAACAACACTCTGATAATGTATGCACTGTTCTTCAAATTGATTGGTCCACACCCGAGACAGCTTTTCTTATAGCCTAGTCTCACATGGTGTTGGACCAGATGCCGCCAAAAGGCGCACATCTGGTCTAATACCTGCGCCTTTTGGCGTCATCTGGTCCAACACCATGTGAGACTAGGCTCTAAGAAAAGCTGTCTTGGGTGTGGACCAATCAATTTCAAGGACAGTGCATACATTATCAGAGTTGTGTTTTTTTTTGCACTCCGACCGCAGGTATTGTGGGCAATGCAAACATGACTCCTTGTAAAAAAGGTGCGGGGGGGGGGGGGGAGCACGAGCTTGCTGCACATATTGTATCGGTGGTCTGTCAGGTGTTGTCACGCCGTGTACCAAACACCATTGGCATGGGCCCTCGTGCAAAACAGCAGCCAGGCTCATAACATTCGGGGTTAGCTCGTTCACGTGCAGATTGGCCCACGGGCTGTACAAAGGCCTCCCATTGCCATCGAACTGATGGCTCACGAGGATGATACGGCGGCTGTCTTATCCACACCGGCGCAGGTGCTCATTCACATGCCTCATCAACGCCTGCCAAATGTCATACGTCTCATCAGCTCAAATTCCAAAAGCCCGGGGCATCTGCACTCAAACTTGATGTACCGCTTAGAGACAAACGCATTTCCATGCCCAACGAAGCATTTGGGATCTGCTCATCTACACTGCCTCCCAGCGTCATGGGAAAAAGTCTGGTATTCCTATGTCAGGACCAAATAAACATCGCGGGCATGTCGACGATAACCGTAACAACTGAGCCATTGTTTTCCTTAAGAACACGGCATATCTCTGTTATCTATATGAGTGAGACTTTGCACCTGCCATTAGCCATTGCATATGTGTCAAAAGGGCAGTGTGTGAAGACAAAAGAAACATTGCCACTTGCACAGTCCTCGAAGAAGAACCTCCAAGCCTCTGAGGACAATGACGGCGCTGGGAGGAGAGCGGGGATCGGGGCGCCGGCTCCTGGCGCTCGCGCTCTGTGTCGCGTGCGCGGGATCGAGCGCGCTGCCATCGCACAGAGGGCAGCGGCAGAAGCTGCTGCTCGTCTCGTTCGATGGATTCCGCTGGGACTACGACCAGGACGTGGACACCCCGAACCTGGACCACCTGCGCACCATCGGGGTCGCGGCGCGACACATGGTGCCGCCGTTCATCTCGATCACGTCCCCGTCGCACTTCACCCTCGTCACAGGTACGGCTAAGCACTGCTTAGTCAGAGCCAAATGGTTTATTTGTAATAATATATTCTATTATTTGCCAAGGGTACATTTCTTTGTTGAGATTTGAAAATAAATGTCTCTTCTTTGAGATATATATTATGAAAAGATAGATGAAATATGAACATTAAAATAAAAACGTTGCTTTACTGATTTAAAATGCTTGCCTATCATTTCCTAATTCATATGAAAAATGTTGTTTTATTGATGAAATTAAGAATGCTATATCATATTTTAACTAGGCGATAGCTTAATCCAACTTCATGCCTTACAAGGGTCCTAAAAGCCGAATGAAGGCCTCCCATATTGCCATGTCAGTTATGGGAGAGTTGATTCTAATATTCTTCACCCTCATTGTCAGCATGGCACTCAGGACCATCGCGGATCCCGGAATCAATCACAAATAGACGTTTCACAATTATACCCAAAAAAGGGGCGAAACGGGGAACGGAAATGATGGACGGTCATTTTAAAACAAAATCCCAATTTACTTAAACTTTCACACCTTGGTCTGTGCGTGCGTAAGGGAGACACCCGGAGTCTCACGGCGTCATTCACAACATGCTCTTCAATCCGGAGACCGGAGAAAAAGCCAACTTTCAGAAAACAACACTGCGCTCCGAATGGTGGAACCAAACCATCCCCATCTGGATCACGGCTCAGAACCAGGTATCTTTACCTTTAACGCTCTTGAGAACCCAATCAGCAAACTCTTTAGTTCGTGGATGCTTTAATTTGCGTTCTTTCAAAGCCACCAAGTCAACGTTTGCTCAGAGGGTGGTCGCTCATTCTGCTCTGCTGCCCCCACAGACTGAAAATCCTTACCCCTCCAGCATCCCCTGCTGTCGACTCTCTGCCGCTGTTCAAGTCCAGGATTAAGATACTGCTTTTTGTCCCCTTGCTTTATGTGTTGAGAATTGTTCAGACAGATCGCTTAGATTGTGAGTAAACTTATAAAAATGAACATGAAAAACAGACTCGAAGGCCTTTGAACTTAATTTTATAGTGAACTCATAAAACTGTACAATAAAGATCACGTATAATCCTGCTTATCGCGCAAGTCAGATAAGAATCCTTACACTTGAAACTGGCACCAGCTGGTTACTACGCACGGTGCTATCAGAAACAAGAATCTCATTATGTTTGTCATTAACACTGTCTTGTAACAGATAGATAAATAAATAGTAGTCTGTAGTTTTAGTGAATTCTCCTTAAAGAGTACAGATATTATATTATTTGGGTCTTTTGGTAAAGTCACGTAGATAGGTTCAAAGAAAATAACGAAAAACTCTGACGTTTTGATCGCAACGCAAGCAGTCGTTACGATCGAAACGTCGAAGTTTTTGTTGTCATTTTTGTTATTTTCTTTGAATCTATCTACGTGACTTTACTGAAAGACCCAAACAATATGAATTACTGCAGTCACGAAAGCTTTAAGTCTAGTACAGATATTGATTGAGATATTTGGAGACCGCCCTTTAACGGCTGGCTATGCACGATGCGAAAGAAGTTCAACATACATACACGCAGAGTGGCTTACAGAAAGTTGACACGCGGAAGCTGTCGTGAAGAGGTTTTTTTGTGGTTCCCATTCAGGGTCTGAAGACAGGATCACTGCACTTCCCCGGCGGAGCTGTCAATTACTCTGGCCAGACACCGTTCAAATCCGTGGCGGAAGAAGCTGATCACCCGTACAACAACGTGACCGAGTGGCGTCTCAACATTGGCATCGTCATGGACTGGTTCGTCAATGACGACCTGGAGTTTGTGGCCCTGTACTACGGCGAGCCGGACTTAACCGGTCACTTATCCGGACCGGAGACGGAAGAGCGGCGAGCGATGGTGCGGCAGGTCGACGAGACCATCGGCTTCCTGGTCGATGCCATCGAGAAGAGGGGACTGAAGGACACCCTCAATGTCATAATCACCTCGGACCACGGCATGATCACCACTCGGAAAGCTCCGGACATCGATGAAATTGTGCTGTCAAATTTCATCGACTTCAAGGACGACCTCAAGTTTGACCTGGTGGACTACGGACCGTCCGGCATGCTTCTGCCCAAGGAAGGGAAGGAGGAGGAAGTTTACCA